ACTCTGTAGCACGCGTGCCAAGTCGGCCCGATCAGCCGGAGACAGCGAGGCGGCGAAGTCGTCCACATTGGCGAACGTCGTGGCGCGGGCCCGATAGCCCGGAGGGAAAGGAATCATCCTATCCCAACCATACTTTTGCCGAATAGTCTCCGTCGGTGTGTTGCAGTTGCGCGCCAAGTGGTTCTCACCACAGCGGTAGCGCACCATGGCCGCGTTGGCCGCGTCAATGTCCATAGGGACCACGCCAGTGTTGGCCGCTGGTGCTGGTGCGCATTGTTGCTGGGCGGGAGCGCTCCAAGGGCGCCAGTTGCCGTTGCGCGGCTGCCACTGGTTGGCGTTATGCGGCGCCTGCTGCTGTTGCAAGCCACCCGTGGGCCGGCCGGTGTTGTTGTTCGCGCCGGCGGACTGGTTGCGCGAGGACGTGTTGCCAGTGGCTGGCTGCGAAGACTTGCGTGCCAGCACGCGATCCAGCTGATCCTCACGATATTGCCGGTCGAAGAGGATGGCATCCTCGTACCAGCCCTCCAGCGTGGTCGGGCGCTGCTTGCCCTGCCCGTTGACCTTGTCCTTCAAGGCGACCTTGAGACTCGACTTGAACCAGTCGATGAGCGCCTCCTCGCCATAGCCGCTGAGCATGGCGTACTCCTTGAAGAAGCGTACATGCGCCTCCGCCGTGCTGTCCTGCTGAAGGGTGCGGATCTTGTGCTTGGCTGTGGCACGGATGTTGACGTCCTCATACTCACGCAGGAAGGCCGCAACCAGTGCGTCGGTGTCGTTGAGTGGGCCGGTATAGGGTTGGCCACTGTGCAAGGTGATCTCCCGCTCCTGGAGCAGCTGATGATACCAGCAGGCCGCGGACTGCTCAAGGAAGCTTGAGAAAACGCGGATCTTCCTGTCTTTGTCGAAGGCCACACCGAGTTCCTGACTCTGGGCGTATACGTAATGGCTGATGGTGACGGTGAAGTCGCGTGGCTCCGGGTCGTACACCCCCTCCTTGGTGGGCACTCCGCTGAAGCTACATGGCAGTGGCAAGCGAACTTGCTGAGGACGAACGGCGGCGGCCTGAGCGGGGCCTTGTGGGCCCTGCGGCTGAGGCGGCTGAGCGTGGAGGGTGCCAATCTCGGCCCGGAGGGCGCGGATGAGGCGATTCTTGGAGAAGCCGATAGCTGCAGCCAGCTGCTCAGCAGTGGGTGAGCGCGCAGCCGTGCGCGCATTCTCCTTCACGACCCAGAAGAGCGAGCCGTTCGTACGTTCGGCGCGATAAAGGAAGAGGTCCGTGTCAAGGCCAGATGGAAGGCGGAAGTCGTCAGCGTTGTTGACATCCACATGCCAGCCACCCTCCGGAATATCCATGGGGTAATTGGCGGGGTCAACGTACGGCATGATTTAAGTGCGGCGAGAGCGGGGTCCGGCGCGGGGTAGACGGAAGGTGCGGCAAATAGGCGAAGATGGAGGCGACAGAAGTTGGAGTTCACTGGGTGCGTCCCAAGTGATCCACAGGAACGGAGTATTGTCAGCCGGGAGGCGGCGGACGAAAGCGAGCTCGGAAGAGAAGGTGAGACCGGTAGGACCTCCCACCAGACGACGGATGCGATGGTAATAGATGAAGTCACAGGTTACACCGTAGTGTCCCCCTACAGCAATGAAGGCGGTGTTGAGACGACGGTTATTCGCAGTGCTCAACGAGTTTAGGCGACGAGTAACTTCACGACGGAAGCTCTGAGTGGGGCGCGCTGGTGCAACCTCCACAGCGACGATAGCAATAGTGACAGTGGATTATTTCCAGGGACTACCCGAGGAATGTATCACACTATAGGGCGGCGATGACGACCCTAGCGATGACAGCGATCAAGGCGGTTACGGCGGCGACGAGTGTGAGAGCGAGTTAAGGAACCTTGATCTAATGTTAGTAATGGCTAGGTGGCCACTTACTAACACAGACAAGGACAAACGTAGAGACCAAGGTAAGCGGCTAGGTAGCCGGTGTATTGACTAGATCAAGGTTAAGAGTAAGTTACAAGCAGAGGCGGAGTCTTATATAGGTAGGGCGAGGCAAACAACCGTAAACAAGGCGCGAGAACTAGATGAGTCGAGTGTGAGTC